CGAAGAAGCAAAAATACCGCGAAGCTGGCAGTTTTAGCTTCCTGACCAGTGCTGTTCTGTCGGTATACCTGCAGTAGCTCGGCAATCGAGTGCTGTTTGGGCATGTCGAACGAAGGCCTGGACAGCAAGCGGTGAGATGCGATAAGGATATTCGTTGCCGTACTGGAATTGATATTTGGATGGGTACGAATGGTACTGCGTGCGGCCACGGGGGAACTCTTCTACGTCTGGTCACGACTTGATCAAGACCAACCTCGCCCAAACTCTTCTAGGAAGAAAGGGTGCTATGTTTCAGCTGATTGCCATTGACGGGTTCTTGACCAAAAAGGTTCGTTTCTTTAAAAGTTCATCACTCCTCACTCGATTGTATTGAGATGATAACTTGCACTTGTACTTGTGACTGCTCGCTGCTCCCACACGTGGTGTAGATAGGTTCGATGTTGTCTGTCTCTTATCATCATTAGTACACTACAATATACCAGCACAGTTCCCATAAAGTACAAAACAAAAACTTTCTATTAACTTGAGCTCGACTTCGTTCCTAGGTGAAGAAAGAGTTGTAATAGTCTTATGGATTCCGCTGTAGTCTTGTTAGTGTTTTGTCATTCGTGCATCCTACCAACGCGGTGAAGCATATGCATAATACAAACAAGCTTTGTTCAGCTGGCCAGGGACATGCTTCATCACCATACATGTACTTCCAATTGAGCAGAAAAACGGAATAGAGTACAGAGCATTAGTTGCGCTGTACCAAAAGATGACTGGATGGTGTACGTAAGTACTTAGTGTGGATTCCGAACTCTAACAGCTTTCTGAACGAGTGATATAGTAGTCAGGATCCTTATCGATCTGATCGGACACCACCACCGGTCCAATAGAAGAACTCATGGAACACTCGGCACTTTGGGCATTGTTTGATTAGTAGCAGTACCCTAGACATGATTTTCTCGTTCTGGGCCAATCATATCAGCTCTATCCACCAAGGGTACTTGGCTGCAGTCAGAACCTGATTTCCGCGATACAACCAATTGGTGACAAACAAGCGCACGGACCAGTTATTCCCACATTCGGGCATGAGCTTGCTGGAAAGCGCGACAGCCGCAGCCCAACTCCGCACCTAGGTACTCTATCTACTGAACGTTCTCTTAACTGTTCCTTAAAAGTTCATTTCCTGAAACATAAGTGACAACATCTTCTTGCGTCCGAGTGGCTGTTTGTATGTTCCGCCGCATTCGAGTTCATTATTGCTTCTGATGAACGAGCTTCCCTGTTCCTTTAAGCTCACTACCTACTCCACTGTGCCTTACGAACTCCCGGAACACTACCCAAGAGTTATACAAATCCCCGACCCGCCTCGGGAATTCCGTGGAATGAACACGTACAAACAACCTCGTGTCATGATAGATATTTCCAACCACTCATTAGAACATGTCTCACCTCACATGATATTCCTGCTTAGCGTTCGGACCGCTTTTGTTTGCTCAGCTCACTCCGTGTAACCTGAATGTATTGCTTCTTTCTTCTCGAGAGCTGAACATTATAGTCAACACTCTACACACCCTTCTATATAACAGCCCGGTTATTTCCTTTGGCCTCCTCACCTCATCACCATGCCACCCCATCGCCACCCCCCCACTACTCCCTCCACACCCAAGAAGCCTCGCGGACCAAAAGCAACTGCAGGTCCATGGACTGCAGCCGAAGACGCCACAATCCTTCGCATGCGCAATAGCCAACCTCCCAGTCCCTGGCGCGAGGTCACAGCGGCCGTAAACCTCCTCCCTCCGGGCGGAAGAACACAAAACGCCATCGGAAAGAGGTACCAGCAAGTTTTGCAGTACGATGACCAGTCCGGGGGACCGCTTAGTGAGAAGGAGAAGGCGTTGCTACAAAGGGCGGTCGAGGACTTGGATAGCGGGGCAGATCGGTGGTGGTTTGTTGCAGCGAGATATGCAGAGCTTAGGAAAGGTGATGTAGATACAAGAGAGATGGGGAAGGTGGGCGTGAAGAAGTGGTGGGGAGTTGTCAAGAGTGAGGGTGAGGGAGGGAATGCTGGGGAGAGAACTCCGAGGAAGGTGGGCAAGGGGAGAAAGCAGGAGGAAGGAGAAGCGGTGAAGGAAGGAGAAGCGGTGAAGGAAGAGTATAGTGAATAGGCACACAATATGCTGTGAGATATTGTTCTCAAACTTAGTAGAGTCTCAAGTTACTAGTTGGGATACTTCGTTCGTTCTCATTCATGCATTGGTCATGACTGCATTGCCTTAAATTTGGATATAATCTTAAGCAAACACTTTGGGTTATGTTCCCGTCATCCGCAGAGCTGGTGCTACAGAAATCTGCACTTTACTTTCAGCCTTGGTTGTACGTTGTAGCGGTAGGGCGGGGCTACTCAACACAACCCTCCCAGTGATACTAAGATTTCAATAACTAATCTACAACCTTACCCTTTGACATTCCTTAGAATCAAACTTGCGGGTCGAGCACCTACCACGAGAATTTTCTTTCCCAATTTAGCATCAAATAGAAAAATACAGTCCAAACTCAGCTCGGTAGCAGGGGAAACCTACTACCCCTTGGTAAGTGGTCAAACCGTCAGCTTGTGCTACCATGCTGCCTAGTGCATCTAGATTTCAATATTGCCAGCCAGTTCCTTCTGTGCCTCCAGGGGTACCCGTAAGATGAAGCACAGTGTATAAGACCCTAGTTATTCTCCCACGCGTCCCCTCCTTCAGTCTCCATCACCCACAAAAATCAAGACTAAACCATTCACGATGCCCCCCAAAAAGCGCGCCGTCTCTCCCTCCGTCTCCCCTTCCAAAAAGCCCCGTCTCCAGCCCACAGCATGGTCATCCGCCGAGGACGCCCTGATCGTCCAACTCCGCAATACCAAGCCGCCGAAATCCTGGGCCGAGATTACTGCGGCCGTCAACGCCCTCCCCGCTCCGGCACCCAGAAACCGTAACACCCCTGCGGTACGTATGCACTACACACGCCAGCTGCAAGGCGAAGGGGCTCTTAACTTTAGCGAGCCGTTGACGGAGCACGAGAAGTCACTGCTGAAGAAGGCCGTGCTGGATGTGGAGAGTATGAGCGACAAATGGTGGTTTGTTGCAGCGCGGTACACAGAGTTACGGAAAGCGAAGGGAGAGGCGAGGGAGATGGGAAAAGTAGGTGTGAGGAAGTGGTGGGAGGTTGTGAAGGATGATCAGAATCAGGAGGGTAAAGGGAAGGGGAAGGGGAAGGATGCGCCGGAGGAGGATGAGGAAGATGAGGAGGAAAAAGAGGAAGTCGCAGCAGCAGCCAGAGCGTCAGAAGCTCGAGACTAAGAAGGAGTTTAGAGGGATAATTCTGTTGTGGGCATGGAGTTTGGTGCGCGGTTTTATTCCATTTAGTTATTGGTGCGTATTTGTTAGAGGCGTTTGGATGAATTGCAATATTATTACAATCTACACATGTTAGAATGTAACTTGCTGCGTGTTTAGCCACTGCATGGAGCTAGATATACCCACCGATTCGTGACTGGCCTACCAATCTTGTGCTTTCGTTGGTCAGATTTTTACCTCACCCGCAAGCTCACTCGGTAAACCCCCAAGCTAAAACTAACGTCTGGCTTACGAGGTCAGCCCCATCTCGTAGACAACTTTGCATCACCGTTCTGAAACTTCGTCACGAATCATGAATCAATCATGAATAATCACTCATCTCGAAACATCCGGGGCTGACAAATTATATGTAATGCATTTCCAACACCAACATTTTGCAATTTGGGGCCCGGAGTTCTGCTTAGTTATATCATCAGAGCCTTGGACAGCCGAGTTCAAAGTTGTACTTCACAGCCAACTGGGTCAATCGGCTGCGAACTCACCCACATCCCGCCCGGACCCTCCATCCGTTCAATTGCTGCGTTTAGCTGTATTTCTCGCTCAGGCTCGAGATGTCCATGCCATGAGCATAACATGCTTATCCCCTGCAATTTTGATATGTGTTGAATACGGTGCCTTACCAATTTAATGGTTCCGCCTAGTTCTTGATTGGCTGGCTTTAACCTCACCCCAGAGTGAGGGCATACCATTACCGGTAGCCGTCTATCGGCCGTACATTAGAGTTTGAGGACCGCCAACCTCATCACATGAAAGTCAGAGACAGTATGATTTTGATATCACTCGGCTGCTCTAACTAGCATAGTGCCCTATTAGTGTACACCACCGTATTCAACACGTATCAATACTGAAGGGGATAGACGGCACAGCATTTGAACTCAATGCTGTCCATCTCCCAGATCTCATGTACCCGCGGGAATACGTCTTCTTCTCGCCACGTACGGTCATGACGTCAGAGCCTGTTTGCAATCGCTCCTCGGCTTCGGCTGGGTGACTGAACCGAAGCTGACCCGGACTACTGGGACTGGCCGGGTGGCATTGACGACTATGGGAGCTCGACAATGTATTCCTCTTCAGTCAGCGTTACCTGGCATACTTACTGTGCTGGCCAAACAATCAAGAAAAGAGGAAGGCCTGAAAGATTGGAGTATATACCAGCGAAGATGCGTACCACTTAACACTGGACCTTTGCATGATTCATTGCAACAAAAGCAGGCTTTCATTGCTTATGCGAACCTATAGCAATATTGGTTTCCGCGGAATCTGTTATGGTCAGGCAAAGATGCAAAAGAGTGCTCTCAGGTTTCGAGCCTGTGACATTCGTATTTACAGCATTGTAGGTTTGAAGCCTGTATTTATAGAACTGCATATTGCAGGTTTCGAACCTGCGGCCGGCGTTTATATCACCCGGTGTTTTCAGCACCAGCCAAGCAATGCGCTCAGTTGTATATGGGTTGCCTCTGACTATGATTACACAGAGCTAAATCACATGCTGGGGTTAGGTGAGTTATGGCCACGTAAAGAAATGCAAAAGAATGCTCTCCCTAAGATCTTAGTGTTTACAGCACTGTAGGTTTTAAGCCCGTGATCTTCGAATTCGTGTTTGCGGCACTGATAGATAGATCACTGCGGGTTTCGAACCCGCACCAGGGGTTTTCAACACCTGGTGTTTCCGGCACCAGCTAAGCAATGCAAGGCTGATGGACACATCAGATTTGACTATTTCAGCCCAATTTGCTTCGAAAATATGGTTTCCTCAGGAATTCTATTCCCGCTAGATAACATCAAGTACAGTCGAATTTGGGGTCGCTATCTCCTTTAAAATCTTACTATTTATGATAAGTTCAGGCTTCTGCATGCATCATTCGCACTTGATCTGGCTTTCCGACGGTGTGCATGGCGAAGATTTAGCGAACTAGCAAAAGATACTTTCTTTGAGAAGGTCTTCGAGGAAAATTTAGGATATAAATAGCTGGAGCTCTCGAAAAGTGTGGTCTTATATCTGACATTGGGGATTGGGGCGGGCTGCATGGGCTGTGTATTATGGTTGAGTTGTGAAACGAATGATCGTATAGTGCGGACCCAACGAGCTGTCCACAGACCCGCGGTATTGTGATGTACTTGCAGCATTTCTTCATGTATCCTTCGCTGGTAACGTGGTAGAGAAGTACTTCAACAGTACACACGCTGTTGCTTCTCCTCCGGAAACGAGTGTATGCCGCGAGTGAGAGGCAGCCCCTAGGAAACTCAACCCACAGCTCTCACCTCCGGTTATTGGTGTGTCTGGCCGACCACCGGGGTGTGTGTGGTAAACTACCACGGGTACTACCGAGGCAGAAAACTGAGGCACGGAGTGACCCACACTTCCGAGGTTGTTGACTGCGGCTCCCCCGGTACACCCCGGATACTTATAAGTAGGGAGTGCACATGCTGTTGCTGTGTGAGAGGCCAGTGGAGTGAGCCGGCTCTCGCACGTGCTGAGGGCTAGCAATTGTATCGCCGAAGTCCTGGAAGTCACCATGAACTTTTTGTGTACGGATGCGGATGTTGTCCTCACCGACTTGTGGTCACACTCGTTTGGATGGGGATTGATAGATGAGTTACCTGACTCGCGGTTCGAACAAATCCGGATGGGCATGACGAGGGAACGGTTGTCGGAAGGCCGTGGTTGGGGCAAGTGGAAGGCCAACAAAACCCAAACTGAAGCTGCTCTGGGACTGTGAATGCTGAATCTCAGAAAGTCTGACAGAAGGATTGTCAGAGATTCATCCACCGAAACAAACCATCGAGTCATTGGTATCGATGACCCATCTGCGGGAACAACTTACGAACAATGGGTTCAACCTGACGTTCTGGGCAAAATAATCACAACAATCAACTCAAGACACCACGAGCACGATGCCCTTGTCTTAGGGAAACCGACTACCCCAACCGCGTCTGGCACGAGCAATGGTGCCAAATTCCAATTGACCGTTTACAAACCCGCAAACGGCAGTCCTACAACTTTGGGAATCACATGCGGTCAATTTCAGTTTTCGACCTTTATTTCTCACATTGCCAAGACAGTATTGGGGTCCAGCGATGGCGTGGTCCGGCGACGAGTAAACATAAACCCCAACGGAATGCACATGAATGCTGCTTTGATATTCGAACATAGAGTAGTAGATGAGCTTGTGACCAGGGTGCAACAAACCGGCCTGGCTACTGTTGAGGAGGCCATCTTTTGTGTCCTTCCGCCTCTTGGGAAGTCTGGAAAGCTACCGGAAACTCCAATTCAACACCCCGCCGACTCCCCCCAAAATGTGGCGAAGGAAATCACTGCCTACATTGAAGATAGACAACTACAACAAGCTGAAGGACCAATTGCAACACATGATACAGCTTCTTCGTGAGTGTTTGCATTACCTTCTTACGTCTGCGATGTTTACCGCCCATTGTGAGCGAGCGACAGCCCGGCCCACCAAAGACAGATTGACATTATGCTTGATTTTTATGAGCTGACTAGTTTCAGGAATTCAATTCAACTTAATAGCCCAGTTGCATCAAACATTACAAAGCGGGGGGTATTGGCGGGTTTCAGTCATGATAGAAACTGAATTATTGTGAAGGATGATATTGGCAGTTTCCATTTGTGCGAAGGTCTAGGAGGGTTGGAAGTGGAGGATTTCAATGATTGGCACCGACTCTGTGGGACAGGTTCTATGAAATGATGCACACTTTCTTCTTTCTCACCCAGTTTCTGCGTTGGATTTCTTTCTTTATCGCAAGTTCCCTCTGGCTTTCTCTTTATTCAATTGCGCATGGAGCGTGTTACCTATCTATTTCCCAGTTTGAACCCCACATATTCTGCAATACTGCACCAAGCCGCCGAGCTTCGAGATTGACGGGTCTAGACGACACCTTCATCTTGAATTATTTTTTTCAATACCGAATGCCGCAAAAACTTCAATAAACCTTATTCCGGACGAGGAATCTACAGCTGTGAACTATTCTATTCTATTAGAGCGCAGGATGCGGCTTCATCGATTCGAATTAGCTACAGCGCCAACCATCACCATCGCTATCAGAATCCAACTATTACTAGCGGAAGACCACTACCTCCTATCTGTACTAGATTTCTGAGCTTGATTTTAGATCTACGCTTTCAGACGTACGTACACATGCATATGAGATGAGTTACGTAGCCGCGAGAGGAGAGAATTTGCTTAGCTAATTAGTCTTGAGATACTCTAAAGATTGTAAATACCAACAGGGAAAACCCCCTTGGCTACAAGTATGTTGTCCCATCCCCAGCCTCTCCCCTAACCTCGCTCGCAAGCCCAGAGGCGAGAGAGCTTGCGAGTGAGCCTCTGGTGGAGACAAAAGTATGTGTGATTCCACCAGACGTAGAGGTAACGAAAGATAAGCCCAAAACCCACCACCACTCTCCCCGCCCCCCAATCATATAACCCTAACCCATCCCCGACGTCGTCCAACGCAATTGTGTACTGGTCTACTACAAAGTTCGAACATCAGATCTAAGACCTAGGTGCTCTCATGGGGAATTCAAAACTGCGAAGATTTGGAACGCGATTAATTCCACACAAAAAGCTTTCTAAAGCCTATAAGAGTGCGTGCTCTGCAGCCGTAGTGGTTTTTACATATTGCTTCCGCGAGCATTGAACACATCTCCCCGAGCCCGCGGGATCAGAAATCTTTGCACTCCCGATAATATCGTCTTCCATGTGTGAGTACTATGGGTGAAAGGGGCTGTTACGGTACAGTACGGAGGCATCTTATCACAGTGGACTCGAAGGGCCTCATAGTTACATAGATTACAGATACCGACCCGCCAACTTCCGAAGAATCAGCTCTGGTTTAGATTCACTGCGCTTTCTGATTCGTCAAGCTACGGAACCCAGGCACTTCCACCTCGCTGACTGAGACTAATACTGATAGTCTTTCTCGGATGCCGGATGGTTAAATATTTCCTGTGGCTCGAGACAGTACAAAACTTCATATTCCGTCCTCCTCCTTGTACCCCCCTCGGAGTCGTCTTCCTCAATATTACCATACCAGATAGCGTGATCTCTGAGTGAGATTTAACCTCAGTACTTTGTTCCAAAATCTTCCATTTCAGCCTGGAATGCGTAATTTCTCACAGACCGCTGGAAGCCTCATCTGTCTGTACATACAGGATCTTTTCCATAACCATGAGTTAATTAACACCGTACGTTTTCGCCGATTCCCGCGCCCCGCGCCTTAAACTCGGGTGCAACGTGGTGGGGTGGATGTTCGGAGAAGAGTCCGATTTCCGCCTATTAGTGCCACTCGGGGAGCCGCACCTTATTTCCACCGGACAAGAAGCAAGCTTTTCTTCCACCGGCAGGCTTATCTTGTCTTTCCAGCCGCTGTAGCCCACTGATTCGAGTCATCGCAGGGATAGATTGGAATCAGCCTTGCAGACGGACGTTACCCCGCTTGGTGGTGCTGGGTTTGTGTGGGTATACCTGCCTACAAAAACTCGCATACGCCTGGTTTTTGTGTGAGCCTACACGGAGTGTCCGTAAATATCCCACACACTGTGGGGTGTGAGACATGTGGGGGGAGTGGTGCAGTTGGTGGTAGAGTTTGTAACGTTTGACGTACGTTAGCACCAAAAAGATACATTTTTCATTACCCCAGATATAAAGTTGGACGGGCCGAGGGGGTAGAGGTGCTGGTAATTTTTTTCGGGATCGGTCCGTAAAAACTACCGAAACCCAAACTCTCCGTGGAGATAATTCCCAACTCAAGAGACGGAGCCGGCCTCGTATCGATATATCGTGGTGCATATGCGGGTGGCATGCCTAGGCCGCATATTCATACGCCACGTTCGATGAACCCTGTAGCAAGCAAAACAAAAACGGTCCGAGCGCGGGTGTGGCCGGCTTGGCACTTGGTACACTAGAGTAACATTCGGCATCCCGTCGAAGAACTTCAACACGCCGAATTTGCCAATTCTCCACCGCCCATTACCATCAATTCCGTACTGCAGCTTACAACTTGCAGGAGAAATTTTTTCGGTAACACGCAGGAACACAGCTCTCGACCGGCGATAGGGTCAGCTGAGACGTAGGCGATCGGAGCGATGTCGCTGTTGCAGCTGTTTCCCACTAGCCCCAAGCGGATGCGACGTGCAGCAGTGTTTTTTTTTCCCACCGATCGAAAACGGTCGACTAGAGTAGCCTTGTGTGAGTGGTGGCGTTTGCGGCGGCATTGTGTGGGAGAATCTTCGAATGAGAACGGGAAGAGAGCACACGACCTCAGGATGGAGGTGAAAGTACCTGGTGCTGCAGCTGTACACGTAGGGAAGAATTTGTATCTGAAGACATGCAATTGGCGAGCGTGCGTTAGCTCTCCATGGATCGCCATGCAGGCTGGGTCTCTGATGCAAGCCACAGAGACTGCTGTCCGAATCGAAATGTTGAGGGTTGGCCGGCGGAGGATGGGCCGGGCGGAGGAGGGGAGTGGAAGGTATAAAGGACTACCGGAGCCCTGTTCCGGAGGAATCGAGAAGAGGAGAATTCGATTTCCGATTTCTTCTTGTTAACGTTTTGCTGTTGCTTTTTAGCAAGACGTCATTGAGAAGCACAACAACAACTAAACACAACCGTGAGGCTGCACTGTACTGAAAGAAGTGAAGCATCGAACACGAACAATAGCACGGACAC